GAGAGAGAGAGAGAGAGAGAGAGAGAGAGAGAGGGAGAAACTATTGATAAGAATACTGAAGAAAATAGCACAAAAAAAAAATAGTAAAGAGAAAAAAAAGGGGGAAAAAGTGACTTTTTTGAACATGGAAAGCTTTAGTAGACTGCCACTGTCTTAGTTCACGATTCCACGGCCCTCAGCTGGGGTCTCAGGCCCCGCCGCTCCGCCTGCTTCGGCTGCTGCACCGCCACCGGTCCCGGGAGCCCTCGGCCGCGGCGTGGGCGCCTCCAGCCTACCGTCGATGCAAGGGGCGCATCTCCGCTCGAACCACCCCTCCAGGTCGTAGTGCCCGTACCCCATGATGGTCCGGCCGGAGCACAGCCGCCCCACGATCCCCGCGATCACCCCCAGCACCATGATCACCGCCAGCACGGCGATCACCGGCCCAACGGACCCGCTGTGGGATCTGTAGGTCTCCACGTACAGCGGCGGCGGAGGCGGCTGCAACTGCTGGAATGGGAGCGACATCCGAAGAAAAAGAACCCTGAAAACTCGATCTTTCGCAGCCACGTAGTGTAATGGCACAAAAAGAACGGATCTTTGGATTGGCAAACCACAAAAAAAATGGTATCTTGATGCAAATAGGCCGAAAAAAATCAGACTTTGAACAGATTCCCGGCGCAAACAAGGCCTGGAAAGGCGACAAAACGAATTCTGGATTTTGAGGAAGATTGAAAAGAAACCTGTTGGCAAAACGAGATCTTTTTTCCTTTTTGGCTTCTTTGGAGCTCAAACTGAGCTCCTCGAACTCCAAAGAACTACCGTAACCCCACTGCAACCCTCGCCAAATCAATCCCTAAGACCCTTCAATGGAGATTCGGTAGCAATATCCGGATTTCAGAGGCAAAGAAGAGGGGAAATGAGCGGCTTTTGGCGAAAAGGTGGGGTTTCTGCAAGCTTGCCTGCAAGAGAAGAAGGCTTTAGCCGTGATCCAGGACTGGCTGGAGCTCGACCCAGATGGACTACGCGCTCGACGCGTGTCCTATCCGACGGCAAGGGATTGTCCTAATGGTCGGTGTCACCATGCGTCGTACTAACTCTGCAGAGCTGAACGTTATAGTGGACACTTTCCCTTCTTTACTGCCACGGAGCACAGCCCCAACCCCAGCCATTGTTCTCCATCGGCGAGATTCCTGAGAGCTCTCTCAAGATCATCTCGACAACTTCGCTACAGGGGAAGGCTTCCTTTGGCGCAAGGTTTGGTGTGGCTTTCCGAGTGCTGTATGTATAGCCTGAGAACCATGGCATGCTTCAAAAGAGTCGATGCTCAACGGATCGATCTGGCTAGGGAATGTATGAAGGAGGACGGACTAGGATGGGGTGTGCAAGGATCAGAGATTCGTCGACTGAAAGGTGGGGACGAATTAACCCAGTCAAAGATTTACTGAAGAACCAAAGGAAGAATGTGCACAGAAGGAAAACATACAAAGGAAACAAGAAAGAAACTCGATGATGTTGACGAGACGCAAGCAGACTCCATGGTCGGTGGAAAGTAAGTAGAAGAAATCTAGAACTGGAACTGTTTGACATGTCCTTTTACGTAGCAAATGCCTGAAAGGATCCTGCTTTGTCCTGCGGATGTTGTTGTTTCATCAATGAAGCATGCTGGATGAGTCATTGGGACCCCATTCCATGCTGGATAGAATGGACTGGACATGCAATTTATCTGATAAAGAAGGAAGAATTAGGGTGGAGTTTGGATGAGAAGTGATTGTGAACTAAATTGATTGGTGGATGCACACCAGTCTCTGAATCTTAGGGAAGAAACACAACTTAGAGGGCAACATACCAGCTCTGGTGGTCTTCCTCCATCCTCATTGACACCAAAGAGGTTACTTAGTATTAGTTCCCTTCAAATCTCTCCCTGCTTAGTCTATGACCTTCAGTTCAACCTCTTCATGCAATCACACCTTCCTGTCTATTGTTAAGTCTCAGTGCTGCATTAGATATAAACCCTTTTAAGACCTCTACTCCTTTCTATAGTTACCTTTAATTAATTTATCCTTTAAAAGATTTGTGAAATTTAAGTCATTGCATATGGTTGTTAGTGAGAAATGTGTAGGAGTTGATTGTTCTTCCTTTTCTTGTCCATTTAAATATGTTATTGACTGGTGTACTCAACATCAAACTGATTCTTGGAGAACAAAGATCTGCATCTGCACCTAAAAAAACAAAAAAATCTGAGATACTTTGATAGTCAGATCAATTCTGGAATTTTTCCATGTTAAAGGTGAGTTTGAAATCTTATCACATCATGTTGTGATTGCCATATTGCCATGAAGTTCAGAACACTTTTTCCTTTTTGGCATTCACAAGTACTGATTGTGCACTGATATTATACATGCGAAGATATATATAATACACACAAACACGAAGACACACTAAAGACTACTATGTATTTAGATGGCAATCTGATAAATTGATTCTATCTCTCAGAAATGTATGTTCCTGTGACCCTCCGATTAAGAACTCGTAAAATGCCACAGATAATGGATGCCCATTTGAGAATTATTTGGCTAATTTACAATTGTCTTTTCTTCCTCAACCATTATCCTCCAATTAAGAGTTTGTTATATGCTAAAGTTTTTTTGCTCTTGTCATGTGCAATTGTCTTTTTTCCCTCAACCCTTCATTAGTGTTTATCTGAAATGCCTTCACGTTCCAAAGTCTCCCAACTGTTGCCACTCTTTCACTGTTAAACAACTCTGATAAATCTTCTCTTCTTTGATAAAACTCTGACAAATCTTAGTGACACAACTTCTTGGATTCCTTTTATTTAACATAATACAGTTGTTTACATTTCCGAGTCAGCTAATTTTGTGTTTTCCATTTTCTTCTACCTGATCTTGCAAAGTTCCCAAATTCTCTCCAACGATAAAATTAAGCAAAAGATTATGGAAATCAAGTGTGTATTTACATGTTTATTGCTTTTTAATTTTTAATAACGAAGTATATAGCTACTAATAGACACAGAACTTTCTCATGAGTTACAGTCATTCATGAATTCACAGGCTTGTTGTTAAGGATCAGGACAAATCATGCATATATGATCACAAATATTGTATGCTGTTGTAAAATCAAAATGAAAGCCATGTGTATCACTGTAAAGACCATGAAACAATTGGATTTAGTAACAGGAAAAGGCTTCTTCTTTTGCAGTTGAGAAAAGAATAACTTCTTTCCTGCACAAAAAAGAACAAGAAAACAAGTGGAAGATTTGATATGCAGCCTATCTTTCTTTTTTCTTGGTGCTGAAAGAGGAGATAAACTTATGACACAAATGGCAGGCAGCAGCACAATGCAGATCACCGAGTACCATTAATGCATGCAACGAAACGGGGGTTTCCATACTTTCCGGCCTTGGCCTGCGGCGAGTAGAGCTCCAGGGAGATGTCTTCTGACGAGTTGCGACTCCGGTGGCTCTTGTGATCTCCCTTGAAGCTTCCAACCTTGATCGGTGGTGGTCGCATGATCTTGAAGCTGTTGTTTCTGCTGAACCAATGCGTGGCACTTGAAGGGGATGAATTTCAAGCACCAGTAGGTCCTCCTTGATCTCCTGATTGCTTTGTAGATGCATGTGATCGGTCCTTCCATTGTGACAATGGTTGGAAGCTTCAGGCTCTGGTGCATGTGTAGGCAATGAACCTTCTGCAATGGCTTTCTCAGACAAGTGAAGACCTTGACGAGTTTATTCTTCTTAGTAATTCTTAATTATTATGGACAAGTCATAGATCTTGTCTCAGATTGTAATTTGTGTTTCTCTGTATAGTATGTATGAGGCTAATCAAGATTTATGATGATGACAAAGTTGACATTTGTGATTTCTTACAAGACCATTACAGTATGGTTTGTCATCTCAGTATTGCCAGCTGATGATTGTTGTACAATGATTCTAGGTGTGTGAGAAGAACAGAGACATCCTACCACACTGTGACACTTTCCACATAATTATGCCCTCAGAAATCACCTCAAGCACATTTTGATGTCTGCAAAAGGAAGAAGTCATAGTGCTGATAGCATGCCTCTGTCATGCACTTCACCAATCTCAGCCTCTCTCTCCTCAACAATTAGTGGTCCTGACTTGACCTGCATCAGGGAAGGCAAACTTTTTGAGTGTCATGGAGATGTCAAGGGGATCAACCAGAAGTCTTCTTTGTTGACATCATGAACATAGCATTCAAGGAAGATTGGACTCTATCATGAGTTTGTATGATGAATGAAGTATTTACTGAATTCATATAATTATATTTTTGAAGGGAAAAGAATCATTTGACTATTAGTGTCAGAATTCTATGAAGTGGTGCCACTCCACCTCTCAGATCAAAAAGGTCCTTGTTCTCAGCTGGAATAGTTCTCCTATATGTATCCAATGCCCCAAACCCACCATCCATCCCAAATTGGTCCACTGCATGCAACCTAATGTCCCCGCAAGGAGGAATTAGGCATCAAGAGGAAAGAATCAGGTTGGGTGTTTCCACTGTTCCTCAGTTTGGCATGAACTATTTCTACTTATCTTCATCAAAAGAAAATGATCAAGATGGGGGGACAAGTCTTTCCTGGTTTAACATCCCAATTTAATCCAATATAAAAAATGAAAGAAGAATTGAATTAATTTATTTTTAACAAATTAATGAGTTGATTATCCCATCAATTTGGATTGTGATAGATTTGAATCATCTTGAAAGATAGTATATATATTTTTATATGAAAACGTATACTCTATTAAGATCAGGGTCTGCCGTACCGCCCGGTATGGGCGATACGTACCGGTCCAACAGGTTGTCGGTACGTGGACCGAGTCTTATCGGTCCAAGAGTACTGTAGCACTATAGCCGTGCTACAGTACTCAGTACACCTGGGTGTACTGCTCAGTATACCGTACCGTACCGGTACCGAGCCCAGGTTGAAATACCGGTAAGGTACGATATTACGAACCTTGATTAAAATAGAGATAAAACCTGATATTACTAGTCTAAAATAAGTTCATAAGAATTTGATGAGTATACTATCTAGATTTAAATATTTTTAAATTAATAATTTAGATATAACAAATTAATAAGTCAATTATCCGGTTAGGTTATAACGGAATAAGTTTGCATAAATCATTTTGAATGACAATATACATATTTTTATATGAAAGATATACTCTCACATAGATAGAAGTTGATTTTTTAGATATAAAATTATGATGAATTAGATTTAAATTAAATATAATAATGAATGGTACATAGTAGGGGATGATTCAACCATGAAAACTTATTTTCAATATATATGCCACACCATCCAAAAATATTGCCAAGTTCAAATTTTGGAGGGTAAATTAATATTTTATTTTACAGAGATCATATTTACCTCAATATATTTTAGGTTGTATTAACTACATCAGAATTTAAGTTATTATTAAATGATATGTTAAAAGACTTAGAAAGGCCCAGCCCAGCCCATTTGCCTAATGGGCTCTTGGAATCCGTTTCCCTGTCACCTCTCTTTAGGCCAATCCGTTTCCCCATTCCCATCCTTTTAAACGCCGCTTCCTTCGCTTCCTTCCTTTTTCCTGTCTCCTTACTCGTCTCGAAAATGACCTATTTACCCTTGTAACATAGGGATATATCATATATTCTCTTCAAATATTAAGATCTATACTCACATCAGTCACTACTAAGCATTAATGTAAAAAAATTAATTTTAATGTAAAATAATTAGATGAATGAACTATTTTTTATTTTTTCATCATATTTATATCAATTATAGTTTCAACTAAAGAGATAATACGGAAATACATGGTGGGGATATATGCGTAATTTAGCCCAAAAGGGGCCCGTAATAAAGAAGAAGAGTCTGTTCCTTCGTGGAGGAGTCGTCATTCCTGCTCTCGGAGCAAAGCAGGCATCTTGTGTTCTGTCGCCTCCCCTTCGTCTTCTCCGTTTAGTCTCTCGCAGAGAGATCTCCTTGCCGTGTGTCTCGCTCTCTCGTTCTCGCCATGGATGAGGAGTACGACGTGATCGTCCTCGGGACCGGGCTCAAGGAGTGCATCCTCAGCGGCCTCCTCTCCGTCGATGGCCTCAAGGTCCCGCCCCTCTCTTGATCTGATTTCTTTTCTTTAGGGTTTCAATCTGTTGTTTGGATTCGGCCATGGTCACGCTCGTCCGCCGGCTAGGACCCCTTTTCAACGACCAAGATTCGTTCATGGGTTCCCTGTTTTCTTGGTGTTGGTCTAGGTGTCGTGTTCTGGAATTGTTTGTTTCTCGCAGATAGTTGGTGGCACTTTCTGCTTGTTCCGGTGTTGTTTCGTTGAGTCGCTGAATTCACCTTGGAAGATCGGATCTTGATGTTAAGCCGCTGAAGTTACCTTCACAGATCGGATCTTGATGTTACGTCGCTGAATTTACCTCGAATGATTGGATCTTGATATGTTCTGCCAAGCGGGCGTCTTCTCTGTTTCATCTGGACTTCATGTTGCTTCTTTGACTTCATTTTGAAGCGGGATTCTAGACCATACTTGGGGTCAACATGTCCTTTAGATGCAAGGGTTTAGAAATGCGTTGTTGGATCGATCTGGCGAGAAATTTATAGCAAAAGCTGTAGAAGTACGATGTTCTTTATGGCTGCTTCTGACAAGTGCTTGATCACTTGAGTTGATTTCAACCCGAAGTTGATTGTTATGCATTATAAATGCAATTATGATTGTATCGATCCTTCTGTTTGGTGCAGCTTCAACAATGGTAGTCATCGTTAAGCTTGAGAAGTAGGAACAGAACTGCTCGTCGTGTTGTTTCAATTAATATGTTCCTTTACTTTGGTGCTTGTTTGATTTTTATGTAGACTTAAAAAAACTTACATTTTATCGCAACTTGTTATCATTTGAACTTACAGTCAACTCAATTGTTACCCCCACTTAAAAGATTCCATGGCTTCACCAACAATTAGGCATTTGCAGTTTCTATTTACTTTCCATTTTTTAATTTATTTTTGAAGCTACTGCAGCAGATTTGCTGTATTCTTAAATATGAGTTAACATCTTACCCTTGCTTGGCCTTAAATTGTTAACCAAGCTGTCTTATTATTTTCTTAGTATATTCAATTGTTGCTGGGTCCATTTTTATTGTTCTTGTTGTTTATAGAATATAAATTTGCTGAACTTCCAAAGATATTGAGAAAAAGGTTGTTGAACTTTTTTTAATGACATTTTCTGCAAACTTGTCGATACTGATAAATAAATATTTATTTGATCATGATCCAGCATTATAACTTGGCTATATATATATATATGTGTGTGTGTGTATATATATATATATATATATATATATATATATATATATATATATATATACGTGTGTATATATATATATGTATATATATACGTGTGTGTATATATATATACATATGTGTATATATATATACATATGTATGTATATATATATATAATGTATATCTACAGTGGAAAAAGCTGACCCAAAGCAAATGTAGATTGGTTTCAAACTTTGAATCGACCGTTAATTAATCATATGCACAGCTTTTATGGACTCATTGAACAGAGTGCGAGATGGTATCATGTGATGCGAGAACTGTTCTTTAGGGCTCCAGTCCTCTGTCAAGGGAAGCAAAAGATGGCACTGAAGACGTTACCGATTTGAATCGGAGACCTCATGACTCATTTGAGAACTTTAATTTGAAATCTAACCCGCAGGTATCACAGAGAATATATATATATATATATATATATATATATATATATTCGTGCTCCGCTAGTAATAACCGTTCTACCTTGAGAATGATTAGACAATTCACCTAATCTTTATCCCGGATCAGCTAGTAAAAAGGCTCAGGGATTAGATATAAAAAGAAATCCATAATGAGGGAGACTTTCCCTGGAAGTTTCCAAGAGTCCGCATGGACCACCTCATGCATGAACCTCTCTCTTTCATGGTAAAAGGAAGCACCTCTCTCCATCTTGGTATCTTCTGCCAATTGCCCCAATCTCATTGTATTGTCTGCAGTTGCAGCCTGGAAGCTGTTTTAAGCACTCTGTGCACCTTGAACTGTAGTTATACCTCACAGATCAATCAGTCAAGCTGTTCTTTACTGCTGAAGTAATCTCTGCACATGTCATGAGGAAATTGTTAGTTCTAACTTTGTTCTTAATATTTTGCTCTTTTGTTGGCTCTTAGCTGATGTAAGATATACTTTTTGCCCTCATCTTCCAGTAAGAAGAGCAGCTTTCCTAGTGTTTAAGATAAAAAAGGAGGATATATGTTGTTATTGAACTTCTATTTACTGGCTTTATATCATACTATTAAGGCATGCAAGTCACCTTTGTATGGGGAAAAACATGTAAATATTCTGCTGAGAAATCACGAGAATTATCTTAAATGTGCATATTCTTCTTCTTAGCAGTTTTTTTTTAAATTTGCTAAAACATATTTACTTGCATGTGTTACAGGTTCTACACATGGATAGAAATGATTACTATGGAGGAGAGTCAACCTCACTCAATCTTGTCCAGGCATGCAACTGAATTCTAGATCTCATTGGATGTTATAGATCATAAACCAGTGCAATGATTGGACCTGCCTAGATGTCACTGTCAAACACTCCGATCTTACATAACTATGCTAGATCGAATTTTTTAATTGATAAAAAGAGAAGCCATTTCACCCTAAGATGAAAAAGGATGGTGGTTCTCCAGTGATTTTAAAGAAGAAAAGGGATTGCTATGAGTCAGTAGTTGTTTGTACTGAGATCATTAAGAAAAGGAGATTGGATTACGTAATTATTCTCTACGATATTGTTTTCATCTAGAGTTACACTTGAAGTGACAATCAATTGATTATTAATTATCTTACATTTTCCTGAACTTCCTATACTGTTCCTTTCTTTGGCAGCTCTGGAAAAGGTTCAGAGGTAGTGATAAGCCTCCAGCACATCTGGGAGCTAGTAGAGATTACAATGTTGATATGATTCCAAAGGTTTGTTCCTTTTTTTCATTTCTCTAAGCATGATTATCACATAGATTAACATTGTATTACATGCTCTTTGGTAAAATATTACATCAAAATGAGGTGCTAGAGCATGAGGGGGGTTAGATTTGGATTTTGTTGGGGGAGGTTGTGGGAATTGGTCTCGGTTTTGATTGGATTGGGGGCTAGGTGAGGGAATTGTGTTTGGATTGGGTTTGGTGATTTGGGTTGCTTGGGCTACTCCAAGGGGGTGCCTGGGATGCCTAGAGCCTCAATCAAGGGTGGCTCCACCAGGGCTAGTCGAAGGTGCCTCCCTCAGGGCCATATGAGGTGCTTGGGCCTTGCCTTACGTCCCTCACCTGTTTGAACACCTAGGCGAAGTGCTGGAGTGCCTCTTAATGTCACTGTTTGGTTCAGTCTTTAAACTCTACAGTTTTTTCTCACAGTTAGTCTGCATGTTCTGTTGTGATTTTGAAAGTAACATATTAATCATCCTGTTGCTAGTTTATGATGGCCAATGGTATTTTGGTTCGCACACTTATACATACTGATGTCACGAAATATCTATCTTTCAAAGCTGTGGATGGTAGCTACGTCTTCAATAAAGGAAAGGTATTATTCATCTTTGTTCTTTTTCTGTCATCATTAAGTTGTTATTTGTCACACTTTCTGGCTTCTCAAAATGCTTACATATAATATCTGCTGCTCCTTTTTCTATTGGTATAGATCCACAAGGTTCCTGCCACTGACATGGAGGCATTGAGATCTCCTTTAATGGGCTTGTTTGAGAAGCGTCGAGCTCGAAAATTCTTCATCTATGTGCAAGATTATGATGAAAATGACCCTAAGACGCATGAAGGTTTGGACCTTACAAGAGTGACAACAAAAGAACTTATCTCGTGGGTATCCTTTAATCATTGATTGCATTTATTAGTACAATCGCAGGAAGTTCTTGTCTTTGCATTAATAGTATTAATTGATGCAGTTCTGGTAAATGAAAGTTTATCTGCAGCTTCACATGCTGTTTTATTCTTCAACATCCTTTATGTTTTACCTTCCTATATAACGTATAATTGTTTTATCAGAAGAGTTGTAATTATAAGACACTTCTAGCGAACAAGTAGAAATCTAAGAGGTTTTCTGTTTGTTTTGGATAAGTCTTTGACATTGACAAAGATCTTTTTTAAACAATGCATATACGTGCCAGAAAGAAGAAGCAAAGAGTAATGTATATAACCTATTATGCTCTCAAATGATTTGGCAAAGGGCAAATTAAACTCATACGGAGAGTAATTCTTTAGGATAAATTTTCTTCTAAATGAATGATAGATTGTACAGTATCATACACCATAAGTGGGAGTGTTTTTTGTGAGGAAAGAAGCTTGCTAGTAATGGAGAAGATGACAACAATTAACATTATAAAATCATAAGCTTCTTAGGCTTTGCTCATAACTTGATGGATCACTTTTACTAAAGAAGGACTTGGATGTTGGGTTTTGCCATACAGCAAATAGAATGTCTTCTTTTTCTCGATTTGATACTAAGAGTTTTGTTTAATCAGAGGGGGTTTGTCCCTTTAGAGACTTTGGGAGGTAAACACTCTGAAGTTGGTTGTCCACTATTTAGATTCTTAGCAATATCTTTTTCTATGTAATGTTAGACTATGAAGATGACTTTTAATATGAAAATAATTACAAGAAAAATTTATGTGGTTACTACTAATGACTAAATCTTCCTCCAGGAGTTAATTTTGTGTGGTTGTCAATTTCTTGGCAAGGACAGTTTGTACTAGTAGTCTACGTGATAGTAGTTAAATCTGTTACCATTCACTTAATCCTTTAAGTAACTACTATTTTGTTTATCATTGTGAAATTTCTGTTACATTTTAGTTGATCAGTGGTTTCCTTGCATGTTGAATTTTTTGTATTTTTTCCCAGTTCGTCGGAAAGGATGATAAATAACAATAATATTTTTTTTAATAATTCTATATACTTGCAACTTGGGTCTAGGATTTAAAAATCTCCTTGGTTTGGGACATTTTTTTAATTTTTCAGAACCTTAAATTAAAATGAGATTCTCTATCTTGCAGCAATAAATTGAGATTTGCTATATCGATTATGGTTTTTGATTGTTGAAAATTTTTTCTTTATTGCTTTTTGACAGAGAATTATCACTTGTATACTGTTGATCTGTTTCATTAGAAATCATCAGTTCACTTAACCATTTCTGTCATAACAATGTACCTAGTTCCTTGCGCTAGCAACTAAATGTGACGTTTCTTTGTTGGCCAGAAAATATGGTTTGGATGACAACACAATTGATTTCATTGGACACGCCTTGGCCCTTCATAGAGATGATCGATATCTGTATGAACCTGCACTTGATACTGTGAAAAGGATGAAGGTACTTATTGCCAAGTCCATGATACAAAGTTATTTAGGATTCAATTACTATCATATCATCGTTCCTGTCAATTTCTGTTGAACAATGGGTTCATTACTTATTTGTTTTTCAAACATTTAGAAAAAAATACTGAATGTATTAGTAAAAGAAGTACACCATATTTGTCAAAATCTTTGTGCTACCAATCTTGATTCCTTTCATTATTCGGATTCAAACACAAACCAGTCAACAGAAAGTGGCATTATCTTAACTCACAGATGAGACTGCTAAGTGGGTTGGAAAATGTACAAGCATCACCAACAATTAACAATAGCTATATACATAATTTTGGTAAGAGAGTTGAATACTCCAAGTAGCTTAAACAATGTAAATCCTGTTCTGATTCTTTGTTTACTTGAAAACAGTCCTTCTTATGGTACTACACAGATATGCATAAAAATTGCTCTGTAGCTGTTACTATGTGCTTATTTAGATTTTTTCCTTGTCAATTTCATTTGCACTCAGTGATTTGTCCTTCTTGTCTGGTGTCTGTATGTCTATTAGTTTGTTTTGTAGTTATCTGCTTTATATTCAAATTAATGCACATCTGCATATTTCGTGTTGTTTTTCTAAGTGAGAACTGCTGATAATTCTTAATGAGACTGACTTGATTTGTTGCTCGTTGTGGTGTGTTGCTGGTACTAATGTTGGTATCGCTACATGTAATAGCTCTATTCAGAATCCTTAGCTCGTTTTCAAGGAGGCTCACCGTACATATATCCTTTATATGGACTGGGAGAGTTACCGCAGGTTTGTCATTCAATTTCACAATCTGCATTATGAGAAAATATTCTTCTGATTTTCTTGTGTTCTCACTGGACTTACAGGCTTTTGCTCGCCTTAGTGCTGTTTATGGTGGGACATACATGTTGAACAAGCCAGAATGCAAGGTATCTGTTGGTGTCACTTTATGCTTATCATTGCTTCACATATTATGGAGGCAAAAAGCACCAGATTGTCATCTTTATTGCTACAGTACCCATGCTCTGGTTAATTTAGTTTTTGCATTGTCATAGCTAATATTTTTTTGACCAATCCAGGTTGAATTTGATATGGAAGGAAAAGCTTGTGGTGTGACATCAGAAGGGGAAACAGCTCGATGCAAGAAAGTTGTATGTGATCCTTCCTACTTACCAAACAAGGTAAAGCATCTTCAGTTTACATTTAAATGAAGTTAGTTTAATAGTAGGTGGTAGATCCACTGGGATAGCGGTGGTATAGTTGCAAAGTACCTGCTTTGGTGAATAATTGCTACTGAGACTGCTGTAACGGACTAGTGTGATGTCAAATTTGCTAATATAAGATTCAAAGTTGTTAAACATATTGCTAAGCGGCTTTTGATTGATAGGTTAGGAAGGTGGGAAAGGTTGCAAGGGCAATCGCCATTATGAGCCATCCGATCCCAAATACAGATGAGTCTCATTCAGTGCAGGTTATATTGCCACAGAAGCAACTTGGACGCAAGTCTGACATGTGAGCCTTCCCAGAGCAAATCATTTCTCTTTTCATATGCAATCAAATTCTTTCTGCGATACATCTTCCTTTTTATTATTTAATTTTTCAGTTCATTATATTTCATGATTCCATTTCTTTTGGTTTGACAGGTATCTATTCTGTTGTTCTTACTCTCATAATGTTGCCCCCAAAGGGAAGTTTATTGCCTTTGTCTCCACAGAAGCTGAGACTGATAGGCCAGACGTGGAGCTGAAGCCCGGGATTGACCTACTTGGACCAGTAGATGAGTTATTTTTTGAGACTTATGATCGATATGAACCTGTCAATGAACCTTCACTGGATCATTGCTTCATCTCAGCCGTAAGTGCCCATGATATTTCTTTGTTACATTTTTTAATTTAAATTGGTGACCGTTTAACAAGTCTAATAATGCAGAGTTATGATGCAACAACCCACTTTGAATCAACTGTCACCGACGTCCTTTCAATGTATACGATGATCACTGGAAAGGTACCCCTTTTGCAAGGTTCTATTGATTCAATTTCTATTGAATTTGAACAAGTTCTTACGCCTTTCATTTCGCCACAGACTGTTGATCTCAGCGTGGATCTGAGTGCTGCTAGTGCTGCTGAGGAATGAGGGCCGCAACTTGTGCATGATAATTTTTCTTGATCGAGCTCTCACTATGTTATTTCACAAGACAATTTGACGACCTGTGGCACTCAAAAAAAGAAAAAACAAGCGAAGCTGGGTTGGTTGTTTCATTTTATCATGGGGACTTACAAATGCTTTTCTAAATAGTGATATATTGAATCATTTGAAGTACTTAACAATGGACCTTTGCTATCATCTCATATTGATTCATGCTCCTGTGGTGCTCTGATTCCATGCCCTTTTGAGAACATATTCTTCTCGTCTCCAGTTACTATGGTATATGCCAAACATTCTCTTTTCCTATCTGAAATTTGAGGAACAAGCTGATAAAATTATCATCAAGTTCGGCATGTATTTGAGCAACTTCTTGGATGGTGATGGATCATAAGAAAGTCGTTTCAAAATAAGTCTTCCAAGACTCTTCGAACATGAGTACGTGTATGTATATATGTATGTGTGTATGATGTACGTAAACTCTAGCGTCTGTTCAGAAAACACACAAAAGATTGTCAAACTCGAAGAAATACAGGAGAAGAAAAAGTCAATGCAGTCTTTGCTGCATTTACAAGCATGGCATAAGATGCAATTGGAAGAAAAAGGGATGTTGGTACTGATACTAATAGAACAGCTCCAACTGGAATATTCACATAGGTATATCTCCTGTACTTGCATTTATAAGCATCTTCTTTGGTTCTTTGACAAAGAGTTGGGCAACAACTTGAGGCATCCTCCCATCACCTCCATCACAAAAGTGATGCCCATGTATAACTTTCTCAAACTTGGAAATCTAACTCATGATATATATGACTTCTCTCATATGTTGTGTCATGACAAATATACAAGAGTACAAGTATGATATCTGGGCATGTAATTCCAGGCAGTTGCTAGCTAGAGAGGGAATGGTTCAGGACACATTTGCACTGGTGGTCGCAGATCTTCCCTCTTCCAAGTCGGATTCTGTCTGCTGAACCAGCTTCTGCAGCTCGATCTTCCTCGAAGGTTCATCCTGTCCTTGGCTCGATCTGACGAGCCCGTTGCCCTTTCGCCTCTTTACCTTTTGAGCCCAGTCCATTAGCCCCTCTTGCACATGCTCATCAAATATAGCTTTCTTGAAGTAACTCCCCATCTTTGTTACAAAGAAAAAGATCAGCGCCGGCATCATTCGAGTCGATTAAAGTAACGGCTAACTGGTGGTGTTGTTACCTGGGTGACGATAGCATAGAGCGGCAGAGTGCTGTAGCTGCAGAGGAGCTGAATCACAACCCTACAAGGGACGGAAAGATGTGGTTTAGAACAATAACACAGCCAGTATATTCAAAGCAAGAAGGTGAGAAGCTGCAAGCTACCCGATCACAAGCCTGGGGACAATAAAACTAAATTGATCCATGATGCAGGAATCAAAGCCAAATGTGGTCTGCACAGAAAGAGGAATCCATTAGTTTCTTTCTTTCTAATTATTGTAGAGAGAAGTACAGAAGCCAAATGCTAAACCACAGTGCAAATTCATAGAGGATTTTATCATCTATGATGAGAAGTATGATACTGATTTGCTTAAAGAAAAGTGAATCGTTTCTAAGCTGCTTACTAATATCCAGAAGAAAAATGCGATCTCAAAGGCATTCTGAAACAGGATAAAGTGAATCAAGTTAAGGACAATTCGGGGCCGGCGGAACCAGAAGTGATCATCCGAGGGCTTAACCACCAAATCGCCTTGAATTGCAGAATGTTTTTCAGCAACCTCATGAGCCAACTGAGTGATGATATGCTCCAATTTAGTCCCAACAGCAAGCAGAAGCTGCAAAAGTCAAGCAAACAAGGCAAGATTAATAAGTTGCTTAGCAATATTTGGTGAGAACACCAACAAGCAACCTCTAATCATGGTGGGCGGCTCTCGATAATAAAGCATTATCAAGAAAGCCTCATAACGGCTCTCAAAGCCAATTGTCAGATCAGATTATTCATACGATTTCCTCAGAACAAATAAGAAATGAAAATCAGATCAAACCTGAAGTTGTGCTAAAAAATATAGTTTATACATGCTGCCTAGAAATAGTAGACGACTCTGTGCTTCCAGTGATTACTATTATTTCCAGTACCAATCGACGCATGAGATGTTCGTCGAAAAGGGCATTGTGTTTGGTGCTCTACAGGCACATGATCCTGAACATTCCTTAATTAATGATTTCAATGTCTCAAGTTCTATCAAGGCAACTCATACTATTAAAACATGCTTTTAAATATCATACCATACAGCACCAACCAACATGGTTCTCCTAGTGGCATCTAAAACCTTGTTCTGAAGAATATCCAAACTCCACATATTCAGAGTAAAACTAATCACATGGAGCATACCACATCTATAAGCTATTGTAAAAGAATACTTACAATCAAAGGAATAAATGATATCCAAAAATATGTGTGCCAACCTGCACAGGCAAAACAGATGCATTAGATGCCATTTGTGTGCATTAATTAGAAGTCAAATCGTTTTCATGAACATAATAGGCAAAAGACAAATCGGCAGTTGAATTGAAATCCCCTTTGAGCAGCACTACATAAATATCTTTGACTTCCTAGCCTAGAGCAATAAAGGCAACAGGGTGTCCTCGGTTTGCAAAACAACAAAATACCTACTATTAGGCTTCCTACATGGAATCTATCTTATAATAGACTTGACTTGATCAGCAAATGCAGACAACTAATCATTTGATATTCTTTGGAAGGTCAAAGAGTAGATGAAATTGTACTTCCAATGAAGTTGATCCATTCAATCATAATGAGCATCAAATCATTTCTCTCTTTAGCTACAATAAGACAAAGACAAATTTATGCTAAAAAAAATGCAACAAATGCTTGATATCTCTTGCACAAGACTTCTGAAAAGTAGAAAGTCAAACAATTACATACGGAATTAGACAGATCAAAATGCACTAAGAAAACCCATTTCTTTTATCTGGAAATTGAAAAAACATGTTATGTATTTCTTATGGTTAAGCTGATTCAAACAGCGATTCCGTTAGTCCTATATATCATCACATGCTTATTTAACAGAACAAAAATGTTCATGTTGGAAAAGAAAAAGAATATGTAAACAAGACAATATCATTTTGGCACAAAGAAAGCCAACCTCTTTCTTTTATCTATACCAAATAACATTGATTAATTAGAGAGGACCTGAAGTTTATAATTGTAAGAAACAAAAATTATATGAATTTGTATGATCTTGAATTCAATTTACAAGTTTAATAAAGCGGGAAACAAGAAGGAACTATGTACTGCAATGGCCAGCAGAAAGAAAGGTATGAGATGGTGGTAACTTACCATTGACATTCAGCAACAAGAAAATGAAGACAAACACCCACAGATACCAACTGAAATGAAAGGAAAAACATAAGAACCAGGATGATAAAAATTCTTGAACAGCATCAGATTGTCATTTAAAATGCTAATGATTTAATTCAATCTAATCAGCATTACAGGTTTAAGCAAGAACAAGTATTCTATAATTATAATTACCTTATACCAACAACTTTCTTGAAATCAGCTTCAAGTGTCCGGATCATGTACTTGTGGAAGTTAAATTTTGGATTTCCTTGGCAATGAGTCTAAGAACAGAAGGATTTCAAGTTTAAGTAAAAGATATCCAAGACTTCAAAATTAGCTTTGCATGTACTTGAAAAGTTTCAGTTAGCAATTCAACTTAATGTGAATTTAAGGACCATAAAAAAAAAAGGATAGATAATATATTTTGGCATTCAAGACAATTTCTTACCATGATGAAGCCAAGTCTCATTGTGGTGTAATCTGATTTAGTCACAGATCCATAGAACTGTTTGACAAAAGAATGCTGAAAGCAAAACAAAATATATTAGTAAGGTTATTCTCGAGTCTCTTGTCCAGTTAATTGGAACAAATCTTATGATTAACAAATACATCAAGAACAACTTCATCCAAGCAATATTGTAGTTGTAAGCTGGATCTTTGACAAGAATAAATTAGCTTATATGCATAAATAGAATTTAATATCAGAAAACAAAAAATTGCTGCTGAAATTTGGGGCATTGGACCTGACTAAATAGCATCATTCTGAATTGTAACTTTTGTAAATTTTCCTGAAAATTGATGATAACTACATGTAAAAATGTACCAAAAAACTAAATCTCTATACAGAAAGAGATCTTGGTATTTCTAAATTTAGTGATGATTCATGAAAAGATAAATAAATTGAAAACTTTGGTGAACACCAGCTTTAAGTTGTTGTAGTTTATTCTGAGAGTATGACACTCACTTGTTCTAGAAGATACTTCTAAAATTTCAAAGCCTCATAAAGGAATGAAAGACGGATTCAATGTGCAAGGAGATTTATAAGGATGATGGAGTGAGGAAGGTTAACATGGAAGTACTGTTCAAAGATGATACGAAAATTGAACTGCTAGTATACATGTAGAACTGTGACAAAAGTGTCAGAGACTTGAAAACAAGAAAAGATGCGTTAATTATGTCTTAAAGACAATTTGATAGCTTGCCTGTTCTTGTTTGGTGAGTGTATGAGTGTAACTCAAAGATGGATAAACTTTTCATCAGTCTCATAAATTTCTACGAAATATGTATTGCTCCTGTGAACAGGGAATATAATAGAATGTACAAAGCCGGAGGTTCGGTGAAGTTAGTTGGGTCAATGATACATTTTATTATGACATACATAATTTGATACCTCAAACAGGCATTCAAGCTGAGTACTTAAAATCATAGACAAGACTGTTTCACATTTGTTAATATGCAACATTCGCGTTCCAAATTCATTTTTTTCTTATTTGACCAAGGAGAAATAATAAAGTTAGTCCAAATTTAGGAAAATATTTTAAGCATGTCAAGACAGTTATGATGAGTCAACACTTGTATATATCATGTATTACTTACCAACCAACTTGTGAACACTGAATCTGCACCAATGCCATTGAAGCGGTCTCTGATAAATTGAAACTGATTTACATGGGTGACCTGTTTAGGAGCTGCACCTAGTAGCTTACTAATGTCAGCAACTAAAGTTTGGTCTCAGATACCTATCCAAGATCACAAGGTAAAATACTTCAATAATCCAACACTGAGCTAAAAAGTCCAACCATACCATCTCCCGTGATTTCTTTCTGGATTGAATCCTCCCACTGTTTCCACTGACGTATCTGATAAACAAACAGAAGGCTTAATAC